TATTTATTCGAAAACTTGTTTTATTTTTTCTTGCATGACATTGGGGCACATATGGGGACCACAGAACCATGGTTCATTTTTCCTGAACGGCCCTCTGAATACCAGAAAAGGGGTCCCTAGTTCGATTCCTCGTGGTGACAAATTTTTGCATTTCGAGTTGACGTTTCAAAATTCGCGCAAAATGGAGTTAGCATGAATAATTAGTACCAAATTCATGATTAGGAACGTCAGTAACCCTTACAAATAGACTTTGATTGAAAAACTGGTGAAAAAGGTGTGACTAGGGACCCCCTTTTCTGGTATTCAGAGGGCCGTTCAGGAAAAATTAACCATGGTTCTGTGGTTCCCGCATGTGCCTCTATATCATGCAAAAGACCGTTTTGAAAAAGCTTGGCACACCCTGAAAGACCTTCCTTGTTAGAACATACTTCTTATGGATTGAATGGCAGCCCGTATGTTCTGTGTAGTCGTAATAGAATACTAACATCTCTAATCTGCGTGCAGCGGAAAAGAGCGAAGAGAGCTGCCTCGTTTACAACTTGGTCAATGTGGTCAGAGAATGTTCGTCTGGAATCAAGAAGAATGCCAAGATCCTTAGCTGTTCCGCACCTCTTCAAGATAACATTGTTGATTTTATAATCGCCAGGAGGGTGTTCACCAAAATGCAGGGGTTCCAGCTTTCGAATAAGTTTTGCGTAGTTTGAAATTACGTGGCCGTCGCTATATTCGTAGCTCCGTAAGAAACAGAAGCTCCATTAAACTATGATTGGAATAATGAAACAGAGGTTCTTGAAAATGGTCCGAAAATTTGGGATCAAGCATACCGCGAGGCAGATCTCAGCAGTAACGATCCTTTTTCTACCGCATACACGAGGTGTAGTATGCAGCTTTTGAATACTTCTTAGTGGATAGAAACCGGTGCGATCTGCCTCTTTCTAAGGTCCTTACAGTACTATTCCGGCCCTCACTGAGTAAAATCGGAATTCATATTTCTCGGTGTGACCACAACATCCTCAATTCGACGTTTCTAAAACCAGGTTACCCTCTAAACTTCTAGAAATGAGGCGGAGTTTGGTCATCGCCGCTGTAGTGTGGGAATCCTTTCAAGCCCGTTTGAGCTTTGAATTGACGTTTTTGTTTAAGGAGAGCACATCACTGGAAGTCAATGCCCATGTGAGGGTAGATGAATACGGGTTCTTTCTTTACTGGCTGATAGAGTCCAGAGATGCAGTCGTACTGGATATCGTCAATGAGTTTTGTCGAATTACTTATTATAACTGCCCTTTTTTTGAGGACTTAACGATATATTTATTATTTACAGGTCATCATAATAGTAGAAATACATGCTAAATACTTGCAGATATCTTGTATTTCGCCCGTGTAGTCTAACAATTCCTTTATTATCAATTATTCTAGAGCTTCAAAAAGGTACTCTGCTACAAATTTCAGGTTGGAAGCGAGTCCTTCGGGGTGTTACGAAGGATGGCGAGTGCTGTTTGAAACTCAACACGGGGCCGTGAAAACTCTGGAGGGAAGGGGACTATCTGATAACTCACGGCAGCGAATCTCGTAAAGCGGTCATAGTTTTTATCTGGGTCTGAGACTGTTGCAAATTTCCAAAGTTATACATTTTACGTTCACTTCTATATTCATATTTTTATGTGTGCTGTAATCTGTAAATAGTCATAAGTCTTCTTTTTGACCACGGAGTTTTATCAGACAGCTGCTTATCCATTTTTTTTTCAGGCCTGGCGGATAGGTATTAATGATATCTTAAAGAAGTCGAAAACGCGGCATGTCTGTCCGACAACGAATCTGCTGCGATAGTACGTGTTTCGTCTTACTTTTTCAACTTATTCCTTCTTGCTTTTTTGCCTTTGATTGTTGCACACATTTTCGGTAGAGGGGCATCACTGAAAGTAAGCACATAAGTTTACTCACTTCACAAGTTCTCAGCATATCCCGAGTTACGGTAACAGGACCTTATATGTTGGACTGTATGGTTATCCTTTTTTGAATTAGTTTGGAAACGTTGTCATCTTGGAAACGTTGTCTGGGCATTTGGAACAACATGGGCATTATTCGTGTTTGTTAGTCCCGGGTTTGAACATCAGTGAAAGTGAGCAAATAAGTAATCAGTTTTTAATCAGTTTCGTGCAAAAATAGAATACCCAATATGGTACAAACCGAGTGCAGGTACTCAACAATACCCTCATTTTTAGCTGGAAATGGCTGACGCTTAGTGTGAACGATCGCAGAAAAATTCCGATCAAGCTTCTCGTGAAGACATTTTCCTCCGGTAAACCAGAGAAAATGGTCCTCAAGTGTCTGAGCGATCTTGGACTTTGCGGGGATAAGGTAAGGTTCATTCGAAAAGTTCAACAGATATCCAAAGCATGACTTCAAAGCAAGAATCTTGTACTGCATGAGTGTACTGCTTTCCTTATTTGACAGAGTATAAGCTCCAGTTCGGCATTTGTTTGAAGCGGTTTAATCTGCTCTCGTTTTTTTTTGTTGATTTCTGTTCATCTGAGCAGAAATTAGGTTAATTTTTTATTCTTATATGGTAGTGATGGATGTAACAGCTGCTTACATTGGTGTTGTGATTGTGGTGTAGTTTGTAGTATACGGTTCCACGAGTGATGAATCGTCCGATGACCAAGAAGATCAGCCATATCTACAAATGCAGCAGCAGTCGGAAAAGGAAGGTGCATGATAACTACTTTCTTCATTTTTTATTTTGAAGTTTGTGAACAGTAGTCACTGCTTGATGTGTGACGGATCCAGAGACGGTGATGGCATGTTGTAATCCCATTTACTTGTGTGTATATCCTACCTCAATCTCTGTTTATTCGTACATTTGTCAGTGATCGAGTTTTTTTTAGGAACGGGAAGAACTGGATGTGGAAATGCTGACGTTTGAGAAGTTTATCCGTTTATATAACAAAATTTGTCCGCGCTCAGAAGTTCAGGAACTCTTTGTGAAATTGTGAGTGTTTTTAAGATGATTGCTGTAGATCTCTTCTTCCTCAATTTTTAATGTTTTTTAACTTTAACTCAAGAAACGTTCAGGAGTGGTCAAAAGGAATATCTGACACGAGACAGGTTGACTAATTTCTTGAATGAAGAGCAACGTGATCCACGCTTGAATGAAATTCTCTTTCCTTTCTTCGATAACACTCGGACGCAAGTATTAATAAGCAAATATGAGCAGGACAACAACTATATCGATAACGGTACTGTATTAACAGTATTATTCTCTTTCACTGTCTTCTCCACAAAAATAAATTGTTAGTTATTAAGTTCCTGAAAACTTTGTTTCCAGGAAAAATGTCCGGCGACGCGTTTCTTCGCTTTCTGATGTCGGATGAGAACTCCCCTGTGTTCCTAGATCGTATTGATATGTATCAAGATATGGATCAGCCGCTTTGTCACTATTACATTAATAGGTTAGCCACAGTTTTTTACGTTTTCAAGTACAAATATTGACTTTTTTTTACTGCCAGCGAGGTTCCTTTAGATTTGAAATTTGTTTCTCTCATAATGCACGCTTGCTGCACATACTGTTATGTTTATGTTTTAAGAATTTGAAAATCTTTCAAGAATCTGGGGTGGAAAAGTTATCATAAACTTCCATTGAATCTACCTCATTGCTGTCACAAGGCAAATGAGGCTCTCGTGGAAGACAGAAGGCCATTTGTGCTAATGTAAGGGTGCAATATCACTGTTACGTAGAGGGATGGCTTGCCTACTTATGTATACCGTATAGGTGTATACTGTATACCGTATACTTCATATATATAAATGGAATTGATTTGGATGATATATTTTACCACGTTGACGATCAAGCGGATTTTAAAGTGTCTGCCGCGTGGGACCACGGAAAACCGGAATTTTTTTCTTGCTGAAGCTTTTCATTATTGCAAATTCACTGCGCTAATCACGAATACGGCGCTGTTTTGGAGCGCTCGTGCCATTTCGGCGGCTTGGCCGGATCATGGCGCCACGAATACTTCCCTTGTCAAATTCGGCAGAGATCTATATGTAGGAGATATTTCCACCACTGAGCACGAAGATGTCTTCACTCAAGGACACGACGATTTGCAGTGCCAAATGGCACCAACTGGCGCAAATCTGGCAGTGCAAATCTGTACCTTTAGAGGTACTGTTCCGGGAGCCCACGAACGTCATAAATACGACGATTCTGAACATGAAAATGAAAGCGACGAAAGGACTGATTTGCGGTGCTAAGAAGATGTTCTGCAAGACCGACCCTCCTGTTATAGGAACATGAACTCCATCGTGATGCTGCTGAGACAGCAAATTTTGTTGCTTGCGGGCGAACGTGGCCGTTAGCACATTAGATCGCATATAGAAAAGTGAGAACTCGATGTAGCACTTGTGGGGCTTCTTCTGTATTGAATGCTTCCAAGACGCGCCACAAATTATGTGAGAAATCTAATTGCTAATTGCGTTATATTATGTTAATGTTATTTTTGAAATGTAGTAAAACCAAATCATGTGAAATACCTAATGCAAATGAAAGAAATCCAAGCATTTCAATAACATAGGGTATCGCCCGACATCGGGTGCCATTGTCGCTAATGTGTTAAAAGGTGAATCACCGAAATGGAAAATAGATCGGTGGTAATCAGGAATGCGCGTTATGCCATTAGCTCGAGAAGAAATGTGCTCAATCTTGGCGGAATGTTTTGCATAATCTTCGTTATTCACCCGTGCCATCTATTCTTCTCGCTGGAAAGTTGTAATAGCTGAGGGGTCGTTTCATTTTTTAACAGCAGTTAAGGGTAGCTAATAGGGAACAGTGCAACATCCAAATGTACCTAAGGGATTCAATTGTGAAAAATGTTTTCTTAAATAGGGCTGTTCGTTAACAGGTTAAGAAATGGCCAAAGTTCCTCAAGCAGGCTTCACCTAAACTATCTAGAGCAGTTTTGGATGTATAAGTTTTTTTATTTCTGGTACCGCGCAATGCGGAGCTGTTCGTGCGCGGAACAAACGCGTTGCCACCTCGTACATCTTGTAAATCCTCCGGAACGATGTGCAGTCTCATTCTGTTATACAGCTCTGCTTTTTTCTTATATGCGTTTCATTACAGTTCTCACAACACTTATTTAACGGGTCGACAATACGGAGGAAAATCTTCCTCGGAAATATACCGACAAGTATGCCCTTTTCAATGATATTGAATGATCGTTAATATACATGAGTAGTTTGATGTTAAATATTTCTTATAATCTATTTTTCTTATGAATTTGCATGTTTTATTGTTGTCGGTTGCCGATGTATCAGAGCTCGATTGTTGGGACGCGGTAAGCTGGAGAAAAAAGGCAGAAGCACGATAACTCACCTATGTGAAAGGCCATGTGTACTGGACGTTCTTCTCAAGGTACTCTTAGAATTTGCACGTGAATTAATTGAACTGTCTCCCTCAGTTTGACAGGGCGGTAATCGTGGCTATCACGAACCATTACGCCAAATCTTGATTATAACTTCTGTCTCTAGTTTTCCATTGACATTCCTTATATATTCTTTTCAGGATGTTTTGTACCAAATACGTGATACTGCGTTCGAACGATCTGATTTCCCAGTCATTTTGTCGTTTGAGAATCATTGCTCCAAGTCTAATCAACTCAAAATGGCGAAATATTGTATGGATATTTTTGGAGATATGCTGCTAACCAAACCATTGGATGATTTCCCGGTAATTCTTCACCTTTGAATTGGCGTTCATCCACAGAGTGTTCTATCATGTTTTGGAATATATTGCTGCTGAATACTGCAATGAATCTTACCTTTGATAGCTAAGATGCTGACTTGAATAACCACTGCTATTCAGCTTGAAGCGGGAGTTCCTCTTCCTTCTCCAAATCGTTTGCGTCGGAAGATTCTGATCAAAAACAAGCGATTGAAGCCGGAAATTGAAAAGCATCAGCTTGATCAGTTTCTCCGCGAAGGAAAGCTGGACGAAGAGGATGAGATCATTGAGACTCCAGAAGTGGTTGGCGAGGATTCAGTGTCGCCCCGTGAGTTTTCATTCTTCAATAAGAAGCCATTCGTGCAATATCAATAGTGAAAGCAGACCTCATCTTTGTGGGCTTGCATATGCTCGAATTCTGCTATTTTGCCTCGACTCTTGAGGACATTTCTGCATTTTTGAGGCTTCTTTGAATAAGCGCTTTCTTACTCTTGCCATGCCAGGGATATGGTGTTGCGATTCAGTTTTGCATCAGCGTTCTACTTTATTTTGCGTGCTATTTTTCGGCTTCGAGGATTTAGTTGTTTTTTTTTCTTGCTGCTTTGCTCTTTCGAAAACTTTCTTGACGCGATTGTTGGTGGAGCCTTGAAATGATGCTCTTGTGTGGAAGCATAAACCGTGCGGTTGGAATTGTAGCTCGTTACGATACCTTACTCAGCTAAACCTTTTGCTAATCCCTTTCCACGCCTGCCTGCTATTTGCGTGACCTACCGCTTTAACATCCAACGATGTCGCTAGGAATCGACCTATCGTCGCAACTGACGGCAAACTTTGCTGCAAATATGAATGTCTTGAAACATTTCAGGATAAGTTCTCTTAGGGCTCGATTGGGTTGTGCCTTGTGTGCTCTTATCGTTGCACCGGATAACGCTTTCAGAATGGAATTCGATTTTTCAATCTCACCCTGTATGCATCATGAGTGTGAACACTTTTTGCCTGTGTCTTTTTTATTTGACGTTCTTTATCAGCTCCTTTTCGATTCAATTCAAAGTTCATTGAAGTGGTTTGTTAACTATCCGAGAAACTTGTTCCCTATTATGTATTATACATCAATTCCATCTGGGAAAGGCGACGACTCATTTAGTCGACTGCTGTGAAGAGGATGATGGTGATGATACATCCGATGAAGACGATCCTTCTGTACAGTCGTCGTCCAATGTCAGCACCGCCACACCTGGACATTCATCTCGACCATCACTGGAATCATCTCAAGTGCAACCTGCCCCTCCACTGCTTGCTCCACTCGATCGTGCACTCAGTCACAAACTCATGATTCGATCTCCTCGCTTCACCCTACGAGCGATTTCTATGAAGGGGCGACAACCGCTAGGTGCGTGTGCGCGGGCAAAGTGCATGTCGGATGAGGGTGTGGAGCCATTTCTCATTTCCAAACGTTGAGAATTGAATGAGCCGGTGGAATGTCTGACATCTTCACTTCTTTTTGAGAAAGCTACAAGAGAGTTGGGAGGCTAGTCCAAATTGAGCGGCTTAGAGGCAGTCTCAAAATGTGATGGCTATGTGTGTGTGCAATTCTATGCCTATGCAAATGAAATGAATGGAAAGGAAAACGGTATCTGTAAATGAGATGTGGTACATTAAATAGAATCAATTAAATTCACTGGAAGGTTCATAAGATTTGGAGAAGAAAGATGAAGTAAAGGGATGTCCAAATGTTGGCTCATTGCACTGGCTCAAGTCTTTGTCCTTTTGGTAAAACCCTTCATCCGATCAGCTCTTTCTGTAGACGTGAATGTACTGTGCGTGAGTGAATCGATTTGCACATGACAGAATGTCCTTCTCCTTTCCTTTTCCTGCCCACAAGTTATCCATGTGATGACCTTAGTGCATGAAATGTAATCCGAAATGTATGTTAAGAAGCCCAATAAGATGCGCTGCCCAGCGCTGCATTATCCTGATCAAAGGATCCTAGTACTTGACACTATTCCACCCGTGACTCATGCTTCAAATTGGCTTTTGTTTGTTAATTCAGATGAAAGTGATTCTCGGAAGGGTTCTTTCAGTGTAGGTACAGTTCCTGGCTCTTTGCATTACACACGTTGATTTACTCAGTGCGGTTACCTACTGTGGTACGTTAAGGACTTCAAGGTCCCTGAATACTTTCCCAGGAGTCCTGCAAAATAATAAAGTTTCACACACCT